TCACCGGAGGGATCTTTAAAACAAATTAAATATCTGCCTTGGGAAAGCTCCAACTTCTAGTTGTTGTCTCAGAAAGAAAGAAAAAAAAAGCCCTCTCCTTTGACATTTGGGGTCACCTCAGCTATTTATCAATTTAGGCAAACTATAGATTACTTTTAAGGCAATTACAGCTACAGAACATATTTTGAACACCATAAACCTTGATGATGTAAAAGTAATAGTATAGCTAATAAAAGTTAGGAAGTAAAACCCTGGCTGGTGTGGCTCAATTGGTTGGAGCTTCCTCCCATACAGCAAAAGGTGGCAGTTTCTTTCAATTCTTGGTCAGGGTGCATGCAAGAGGTAACCTTTCGATGTTTCTTCTCGCTCTCTCTCTCTCTCTCTCTCTCTTCCTTTCTCTAAAAATTAAAAAAACCTTTAAAAATAAAAATAAATAAAAGTTTGGAAATAGAATGGGAAAATAAAGGATATTAGAAAACTAGAGGCCCAGTGCACAGATTTGTGCACCATTGGGGTCCCTCAGCATGGCCTGCAGGGGTTGGGCTGCAGCAGGCAGCCGGGGAGGAGCGAAGGCCGGGCAATGCACTGCTCCCACTCATCCTGGTCCCGCTGCACCTGCCCGTCGCTCGGTAGGCTCACCAGCTATGAGCCCGATGTCTGGCGACTGTTGGTCAGCTGAGCTACGCTCCCACTGTGGGAGCGCACTGACCACCAGAGGGCAGCTCCTGCATTGAGGATCTGCCCCCTGGTGGTCAGTGTGCATCATAGTGACCGGTCATTCCACTGGTCGGTCGATTTGCATATTAGCCTTTTATTATATAGGATATGGAAATGTTCATTTCCTCATTTTACATACCGGAGAGTTAAGAGATGTGTAAAATTAATGGTTCAATAAATAGAGACAAGTATATTATATAAAGTTACAAAGATAACTTAAAAAGGCAAGGGAACTCATATTTCATAATAAAAGAGGTGGAGGGGAAAATGGGAGATATCTGTAATACTAATATAAAAAATATTTTAAAATAAAATATAGGCACTTAAAGTTTAAAAAATTTAAAAATAATAATAGATAAATCAAATACTATCTAAAGTTAATAAATCAAGACATTAGACCTATAAGCATCTCATTTCAGTTATAGAGGTAACTGCCAAAAGGGAAATGCTTGATTTAGCAATTGAGATGGGGAGCTGATTGTCTTTCTATATTTGAATTTTTTTAACTATGTACATGCATTCCTTTGAGAATAATTTTTAAAAAGGAAAACAAGGGCTATTTTAATGAAAACTTTTACAGACTATTTTTTCAGATATTGCTTTTTCTAATCACTTCACTGTACCAAAAATAAATTTAATAACATTGTAAAGTTTACTAAAGAAAAAGGCAGATCATTTGCCATAAGATTGCTAAATGATCATCTTAACTTAAAAGCAATATTGTAAGCACAATTTAAGGTATACATTGGTTACAGCAACTTAGGCAGCACTACTGCTTAATGGAAACAGAAAATGTGTCAGATATTAGGACAGGACCATGACGAGCTAGAGGAGTTGTAATTAATCTTTCTATAATCCTGATAATGTTGAAGGAAATCAGAATAATTGAGAGATGCTAGCTCCTAATTTGATTCTTGCTTTACTATTTTGCTTACATTTTTGTTATATATCTATGCACCTAACTTACACTGGTCATATTCTGTAGCAGAGATACCTTTTAGTTTCAAAAGATAAGCTCATGTTTCTGAAGTTGGTTATATACACTGAATTTAGAATCTCATTCTCTGTTACAGTTGGTTTCTCTTTCCTTAGTAACCATATATGCACAAGCTTTCTCAAACTTTTTTATCCTTATCATTCTCTTACAGGATTTGGGGTGTACAGTGTGGCAAACATAAGCACCCCACTCAATTTTGCTTCGATGGGCCTAGTAAATAAAATATTTTTGGAGGTGCTGAATATTGCCAATTTGATTTATAACTTTCTACTAATTCTTTAGGTCTTAGCAACATACCTGACATATGATAGATGCCATAGAAATAGGTGATATGCACATAGCCTATGAACTGTACATAGAAACCTTCCCACGTAAGCAACAGACCCACTTAGTAAATGACAATAATTACTCTAAGTTCTTGAAGAGAGGTGGTTTGACTTTTATCTGACCAATGATTCTCAAATTTAACCAATTTAATCATTTAAGAAGCTCTGAAACCTTTCCTTAAAGCATCTCCCAATTTTGAGGAAGAAAACAAACCCAAGAAGGGAAGAACTTGAGACAAAGGATTGGGGTTCAGGAAGGAAACTTATAGGAAATGAAATTAAAGATAGGCACTATCGTTCAAACCAGGTTGATGTACCTGTACACAAGATAGAGTTAACAACAGACTTATGTAGACTTATGTGCTCACCAAATTTCACTCCTTTGTTAAATTATGAATGTAGCACTGAGCACAGGCTACAGAGTCATGAACTTCTTTAGGTTTAAATCCCAGGTCTGCCACCTATTAACTCTAGGATCTTAGGTAAACTACATAACCTACCTGAGCCTATTTCCTGAAAGATTGTGACAGTGATGATACCCCGCCGTAAAGAATTGTTTTGAGAGTTAAACTAATTATTTATTGCATATTGTGTTTTACCTATTGCCAAGATATAGGGAAAGGTTTACTAAATTATAGTTATTATGAATGTTTATTGCTTGTCTCCATCATTGGACCTAAAGCTCTAAGAGCCACACAGAATTTGTCTCATTTAGAATTGCTTCTCCTGTTCCTAGAACAGAAAGAAGCATGGCATTTGATCAGTGCCTAATAGACCGTTTTAAATGAATGACTGAATATGTTGATTCCATAAATCAAATATGAAAATAAGTCATTTTATAGGCTGACCTCATCCTATACATATTTCTTTCTGTAAGTAGAACTAACAGGAATAATCCCCTATTTTCTATATTTCCCTTCATTTCCTCATTATCTCCCCAGATTCTCACACAATTTATGTTTTTATAAAAAGAATTATATAAGTAAGATAAATGGACCAAAGACAGTTTTAGTTCCAACCAGAAAGAGTACAAGTTTGAAAAGCCCATAAGTTTTCCACCTCAGTATACCATATATAATTTAAAAAATCAAGTGGTCAGTGTGGCTCAGTGGTTGAGCTTGACCCATGAACCAAGAGGCCCCCAGTTCAATTCCCAGCCAGGACACATGCCCAACGTGTGGGCTCAATCCCAGTAGAAGGTGTGTGGGAGGCAGCCGATCGATGTTTTTGTCTCTCTGTCCCTCGCCCTTTTTCTAAAAAAATCAATACAAACATTTTTTTAATTAAGTACCTACTTCAAGCTTTCCATATACATTTTTAATGGTTAGAGTCAGCATTGCCATTACTAGAGTTTGAAAAAGCCACTCAAAATAAAATCCATACTGAACTGTCATAAGTAGGATGTTTATCTTATTTTATTCACTGGAGTTTTTGGGAGTTCTAAATTATATGGTATGTAACCAGTGGCCTGCATGTACAAGACCTCAAGTCCAAGTTTGGAACAAGTGTAGCCAAAGCATAAAGCAAAGCTTTTTATGTTTAGTTTACTTGGGGCTCACACCCATGTCACTTGTTTAATCAGGACTATGCTGTCAGCAAGTGACACCACAATGACATGATCAGGCAGAACAAGAAGGTAAAGACTGTAGAACCACATGTATAGTAGAAATAGAGGCCTTGAAAGGCTCCATGATTTGCCTTTGGTCACAGAACAAGTTAGAGCACAGCTCTCAGTTCTCCAGATTTCCAATGTTGCATGTGGTCGTAGAGCTCTTGCGTAAATATCAATACAACCAATTTTTAATTCATTAACTGTATACCACAAATAAAGTTTTAAGTAATGAAACAATTTAAATAACATGTGCCCTATACATGAGAATTTATCCCACTTAAATAAGTAAACTACAGAATTATTTTGATATACAAATATCAAACATTTGAATGTTTACTATGTCAGGCACTGTTCTAATCATCTGTATTAACTCATTTAATCCTCACAACCCCAGGAGTGGTGTGCCAGGACTCAGTCTGATGTCCGAGGCTGTGCCCTAACTACTGAGTGAATCTACTCTAACAAAATGGGTATGAAGCATATACACTAAAACTTAAAATCTGTCATGTTGATTGTTAAACTATACAAATGTAATTTAGTGCTATTTTTTATATTTCCCTTCATTTCCTCATTATCTCTAACTAGTTTTTTTAAAAACCAGCACAAAGCCAAGTTTTCTTTATTAGAACATGTCTTTGTCTTTAATTACTCAGTAAACCTGGCTGGTATGCTCAGTGGATTGAACATCATCCCATGGACCAAGAGGTCCTGGGATTCGATTCCCAGTCAGGGCACATGCCCAGGTTGCAGGCTTATCTTTAGTAGGGGATGTGCAGCAGGCAGCTGATCGATGTGCCTCTCTCATTGATGTTTCTCTCTCTCTCTCTCCTCCCTTCCTCTCTGAAATCAATAAAAATACCAAAAAAAAAAACCCCAAAAAACAGTAAGCATTACATGACCCAATTATGTAATATGTCTGAAGAAATTTTGCTCCTCTTTTCTAATTGGATTTGTTTCATTTGCATTGAAATCTGACTTCGGGAGAAATTACTGTCCCTATATGATAACCCACTTAAAATAATTTTTTTCAACTTTATTAATTCTTACTATAAAGAATTCCTTTATAAAACTGAACTACATTTCCTTGCATTATAATATTAAGGTATGCCCTGGCCAGGTAGCTCAGTTGGTTAGAGTGTCGTCCCAATACACCAAGGTTGAGGGTTCGATCACCAGTCAGGGCACATACAAGAATCAATAAATGCATAAATATGTGGAACAACAAATTGATGTTTTTCTCTCCCTTCCTCTCTCTAAAATCAATCAATAAATAAAAAGTTTAAAAATAATAATGTGTCATTCCAGGAAACTAAATAATAACAAATAATTTTAAAAAGCTACTGTGAAGTTGAGGGGAAAATCAGTATGTATTATTTTATTTTATTGATATAAAAGAAAACTACAAATACTGTACAGTGAGGTGTGCTGTAGAACACTATACAGTTATAATAAACTATTACCAATTATTTATTACTCAAATGTAATATATACAAGCAATCACAAAATCAGAAAATAATGGGTAACAGCCAGTGCCTTAGGGATGATTTAACATCTATGCTATGTTATTGAGCAGTTAAAGCACTTGCTATTATTTCCAAATATTCTCACTATTACTACTGAATTTTACATATACTAAATAATATTTCCCTCCAAAAAGTAGACTCTCCAGCTCTTGGCACTAACTCTTAAAGTCAAATAGACCTGAAAATATTGATAACCTTTTCAGTCTTTTATTGCTCCACCACAGGCATAAAGGCTCAGGAAGGGACTTGTGCATTCTAAAGAAAAGTATGCAATACCTTAAAATTTTAAATACTAAGTACTTGATACTCACAAGCAGATAACTAAAACTTTTTTTTACTAGTTTTCCTTTCTTTTACAAGAGAATAATCATTGTATTAATATTACACTACAAAAGGATGTAGACTCCATAATTTAAAAAATTAAATGTCAGATATACAAGTAATGGCATTTTCTCCAATAATTCACAATTTTTACAATTCCTGCTATTTTGGAACAAAGGTTAAAATTCCCACGATTTAAGTATTATTAAATATGAATTGAAACACTTAGCATCTCAAAGAATTATTAAGAATGACAGAACTTACAATTAACTATAAATCTTACAATTGGTGAGATAGCTCCCCTTTGTTATTTTATTTAAGTAAACATTCTACTATGGTAGGTTTTCAAGTGAATAGTTCTGGCTTGAAATAGTAACTTTTTAAATTAACTGTGGAGTGCCTTGAGGTTGTATAATTTTGTTAAATTATATAACTTTGTAATGTCTATCCAACTTAGAGCATGTACTTCACTACTACTATTATAAAAAGTCATTTTAAGTTTATAGTAAGATGAGTGGAGTTTAACCTGATTTTTGTGAAGGCTTTTATGAAAATCTTAACATGGAAATTTTGTTTTGAGAACCTTGAAACTCAAAATCTGTTCTGCCATATTTTAAGTATGGGCCAATTAAAATTCCTATTGAAAATTTAAGACAAATCTAGACTGATATTTTATATTGTCACTAGAGGCCCGGTGCATGGAATTCGTGCACGGTAGAGTCCCTAGGCCTGGCCAGCAATCAGGGTCGATGGGGGCCTGCCTTCATTCCGCACCGCTCCCTGGTGGTCAACACACGTCATAGCGAGCAGTCGAACTCCCAAGGGGACAATTGCATGTTGGCCTTTTATTATATAGGATTATATTGACCAAATCATAATGACAGAAGTTACAAGCTTATTTCATATCTAAAGACTAGTTATTAGTGAGGTCTAAATTTTTAAGAGAAATGTTTACTAACAGCCAGTATTACTAAGTAACTACATAAAATACTTTTATAAACTTTGCATCTAGTAGCTAAGGTGATGTCAGTACAATTCTCAAAAACCTGTCATTAGTAGTATGAGTTGCTCGCAAGTGATCTTCCCTGAGGTAAGAGACATTTGCAAAAGACTGCTCATTACCAATGAAGTAAGATACTCAAAAATAATGGCAATAAGGACCTGTGGCTGGAAATCACAGATGCATTTCAGATTGCAAGCAGAAGGCTTGATTGTAAAACCAAACTAGAAAACTATCAAATTATGCAGCAAATTTGCTAAATTTCTCAGGTCATTATCATGAAACACAGTGAAAGAGGGGGAAATGGACCTTATGCTTGCCCTTAGACTAGTTCCTGAGTAACCATTCCCTTGGAGTTCATTATATTCTAGCTTATATTTGGCAGTTGTCTTGTTTTTCTTCAATTTCAACCAGTGTCTCATTACCAGCATTCTAGACATACACTATCTTCAATTCCACCTGCACTTTGGGTCATCAATTCAAACTTGGTATGATTAATTATAAAATGGATTACCAAAGGAAAAACTCTGACTTTCAGTGAAACACTGCAAACAGAATTTAGTTATAGTTTATGTAACATCTAGGGCTAAAAATATTAACTGATTTATGATCTCCAGCTTGGACTCAAAGTTGTGGTGATCACAAATAATACTAAAAAATAACCATTCTTTAGTCCTGCAATTTATTATAATAACCATACGGAAGGACAAACAATGATATTTAAGAACTTAAATTGTTCTAAAACTTCTTTGTAAAGATGGTACCTGGGCTCACCTCTCAAAAACCATTAATTACCCCAATTTTCAGCAGCTTTAAAATAATTTTAAGAAATCTAATCATTCTCAGAATCAAGCCTTTTATTCTTTATCATGGGAGAACCCAAACTATTATAATATTTATACCTAACTGGCTTCTAAATAGCATTGCTGTGGCGAGAGAAATTAATGTGTTGTCAGAGATTAAACCCTTTGAAATGTTCACAGGTACATTCTAATTTGAATAAATAAAAGTATTTAATAGGCAGATAAAATTTGATATTTTTACTTCATGCTATGAGAATATATTTGTCAGTTATTAATTAAACATACTAAGCCACAGATGAAGAAAATATTTGTTAAAGAAAAGGTGATTATATTATTTACCTGGAAGCAGTGCATTTTGCTTGTTAAGTTTTCTTGTATTTAAACTAAAAATGGGGAGGCATGTTTCAATGGCTGAAAAGGCCAAAAGTATAGTGGTTAGTGATATATGTAATTTTTAGTTTAATACACAGAAGTCACCTGTACTAACTAAATGGGAAATATTAGTTGGCAGCTGCAGTTTTTTATGCAAAACTAGTGCACAATATAAAAATTCTACACTTTTCTGCTATTTAGATATAGAGAAAGACACTTGAAGTTTAGAAAAATGGAGAAAAACGGTTTTTTAAAGTGTGATAAAACCCAAATATATATCTTGCTCAGATATCACCTGCAAATGTCTAGATTCTCCATTCTTTCCTTATTCAAAATGGACTAGCTCATTTAGTAAGTAGATTCAGTCAGAGATACTTTCATAGAAAGAAAAACAAAACCTCTCTTATTTGGAAACACAAGTTAAAGTACTGTCTATATTCGTTATGAATCAACAGGTTGAGATTTTTAAACACCTGATATTATACTTCCTGATACATATTTTCTTAGAATGAATACACAATTCTGCATCTGTTACATGTGTAAACAGAGACAGCCAGGCTTTGCTCTAGATAAGAGATTGTATTAACAGACATTTTGTCTTTCATCCATTCTAATTCAACTTAATTTCAGTGAACAGAAGAAAAAGATGGATTGAAATGTACATTTCAGTATACAGGTTTGCAAAATAGGATAAAATAATGGAATACCAATCTCCAGATAAACATTCTCTGTCTTTAAGGAATAAGCATGAAAGCTGCTTCTTGAAGAAACTGGCACTAACGATTTGATGAATACAAATGCCCAGTTGATCAGGGTATGATGCACTAAAATTTACATCCAAATCCAAGTGAAGCCAACAAATAAAGAAAACCTTATAGATTCGGGGGGAAAAAACAAAGCAGTTTTGGTTCAAAGGGAGGGGAGGTGTTAAAGATACTTAGCATATATAAGCTTACATACCACTGATCAAAATCGTAGAATGTAACTCATTCATAAAGAAAAATTCTCACTTATAAATTGCCTGTGAATCTGACAAACTCTGAAAATTAGAGATTAACTACTGCTACAATAATTTTTACATTTTCTACTACACTTTGCAATCAACTTTTCTGCAAGATTAAAGAAAAAACAAACTTGGTGGTACTTGACTAGGCCAGGATTAAAAAAATAATGGTAACACCACAACAGAGCACACTATTGGCTGTGTTAACTCAAACAGCAACATTACTGAATCACATTGACTTTATCATTCTAGAACAGATATTTTCCCCATAATCTTGCTCAAATCAGCAAAATGTTTTATCATTACATTCTATTCTCAAAATATTTTCCCCAAGAATACTATCTCTATGAATGTTTACATTCACAGAAATGTCAAGATCCTAATATCTAAAAAATCCTTTTTATGAATTTTAAGATACAATTTAGTTCAGATAACCTTCAAATGTACATAAATCTTTGACACTCTAGTAAATATGTGGGATGGTTACATCAACAGTAGCAAATCTCATTCCCTCCCAGTCCTAGCCTTTTTAGAAATCAAACATGTTTAGCAAGAGAATTTTCATGTCTGAAACATTAAGACTTTCATGAAATTAAAATTACAAAGAACTTCCAAGGAACCACATATATGGAAAAAACTCAGCAAATCTAATACTAATTTGTAGGAATTCAGAGCCAGCCTGGGCAGCAGTATATTAAAAGCTATTGCCAATCACACACTTGCTATCATGCACTGAATAACAAGATATAATCTTTGAATTATATACGTACAAGATATTTAATGACTAATCAAATTATGTGGCCCAGCCAACAAATATTACATATTCACAATAAACATTTTGCCTTTATTAGCCTCTAATTAAATCAAGAGTGATCCATTGGCTCAGTTGTGTTTGTCATCTCAGCATCTTGACTATCCATCTCTTCAGGCTCATCCACGGAATTTCCCTTTTGTGCTTTTGACCTTGTGGCAAATGCTGCTCCCAGTGCCTCTGCCACACAGCTTTCAGTTGTTTCTGTATTCAAATTTTCAGTGCCACCAGTTAAAGAAAAAGATTCAGGTAAGCCAGTCTGAAGACTCCCAGACTTCACAGAACTCATAACTTCTCCTTTCCTTTGAGGAAGATCAGATGTTGACTGCTCTGTACTTTGATCCCTAAAGTGCTTGTCCATTGAAGCCTGAATAGAAGAAACCATTTCCTGCAATTTTTTTCGCTGGGCCTCAACCAATTCAGGATCCAGCTGCCTGCCTTCTCTCGTTGTAACTACTCCAGGAGCTATTCGAATAAGCTCACTGTTACTAGGAGTAGCTGTGAATATAGAAGGCTCCGTTTTAATGGAACTATTACTAAAGTCTGTCCCTGTGTTATGCTTCCTTACAACTGGAGTTTCCCTAGCTCTTGGATCAAGTTGTAGGTTACTGGATGCAGTTCCTAGAGAATGCCCTTTTCCCTGAAAGGCAGTTACATTATGAAGTTGATCAGATTTCTTTTTCACTACACCACCACTACCTAGTTTTAATAGCCCATGTGAGGGACTTGATTCCCTACTTCTTGTAGTAGCCTCTGCTCGAACCTGACTTACAGCCTCTTTAACTAAGTCTTCAACATCAGGACCGATGGGAAAATGTCCTGCAGCATCCACACACAACTCCAGTCTATCTTCAGAAGCATTATAGACAAAGGTTTTGCCAGGTAGATGTGGAAAAGTACAATGCTTGCCATCAGCCATACCTAAAGAAGGGGAAAGATATTTAACATATTAAAATGTTACTTAAAAAGGACAGTAAGGACAATTTTAGGTGAAATAGTAAATTTTCAATAATTTACAGATTACAGCTTTCAAAACAAAATTAGAAAATAAATTACTATCAATATAATTTAATATTACAAAAAAGAAATATCACCATAGACCTTAAAGTAGTACCTGGGGAGATGTTTATATCATTTTGCATTGTGTTTATATAAGAGAATGTCCTGTTTTAAAAAGAGACTTGTTGAATATTTAAAAGTAAAATATCATACCTTTAATTCTCAAATGGCTCAGCAAAATATATACACATATTACCTATGTATCTGTATAGAGAGACATAAAGCAAATATTTCTAAACTATATATATATAAAATTATCCTATCACAATGTTAGGAAAGTGGCCTCAAACAAACAGCTAAACTATAAGAAAAAAAAAAAAAAACAATAGCAATAGTGTTAGTAAAGCAATGGCTTATTGTAAAGCAGTAAGAAAATATATTTTCATTTACTAAAATTCAATTTTTAAAAAAAATTTTATTAAGTTATTACATATGTGTCCTTATCCCCACATTATCCCCCATCCCCCCACTCATGCCTTCATCCCCCTGCTGTCTATGTCTACTGTTTAGGCCTATATGCTAGCATATAAGTCCTTTGGTTGATCTCTCCCCTTACCCCCACCCTCCCCTACCTTCCCTCTGAGGTTTGACGGTCTGATCGATGCTTCAAATTATACACTTTGCAAAAATACCCATTAGAGCAAAGTGTTACACAAACATGTTGCACAGTGTGTTGAATTACAAATAGTAATTTTACTGAATTACAGAATACCAGAATACAAGTTGTTTTCTCAGTATGATAAAGGTATATATTTTTCACAAATAAATATGAACTTTCAAAAGAACATATTCCATAGTTAAAGTAGTATTTATGGGGCACATGTAAGAAAGCTAAGATTAATGCACTGTGACTTCAGTATAATTTTAAGAACTGACACCTGGTCACAATAAATTTAAAAGATTTTATTCAATTCAATTTCTTTGAAATAGTTGTATTTCATGTTACTATTCTTACTCCTCTCTGGTAGGTCAGAACCACCAAAATAAGCCTGTGTTATTTTGGGGATGCTCCTCAAAATGTCCCACTGCAATTTACTTCTGATAGTCAACTTATGCAGCAGTAGAGGACAGAACCTTAAAGCAGGCTTCTCTTTATTTTCTAATTGAGCAGTTTGATCTCACTACATGGTATTTCAAGACATTACAGTTTTTGCAGTCTTAGAATAAAAAAATTATATGTGTGTTTTAAGCTATCCAATATTCTTACATTTTTAAATTTGTCACTGTAATTAAACTCCAAGTATGCACAAATAAGGGTTAAGTTTTATGAAACCACTGATTTTCTATGTTAAAAGAAAGATGAAGTAGACAACTTTTAATAATAAATGGTACATATGGGTATGTTTATGGCAAAATATAAAGGCAAGAGCAAACTACTTTAAAAAGAAATTGTTAAGCCCTAGCCAGTTTGCTCAGAGGATAGAGCATTGGCCTGCGGACTAAAGGGTCCCGGGTTCGATTCCCGTCAAGGGCACATGCCCGGGTTTCGGGCTCTCGTGCAGGAGGCAGCCAATCAATGATTCTCATCATTGATGTTTCTATCTCTCTCTTCCTCTACTCTCCTCTCTGAAATCAATAAAAATATTTTTTTTAAAAGAAATTGTAAGTATACTATACAAATTCAGAGAGGGAGCAGATGAGTGAACTCTGGAATGTTTTGTGGGCTTTCAGGTCGTCTTCAGTTTTATAAGTTACTAAGATTAGTTTTTAAAAAAAGCCACTGATAAAAGCTAGAGTGGTTCTAATGTATCTCATTGTGAATATTCCAAATAACCAGAGAAAGGAACTAAAATGCAGATGAATAAATAACATGCAGTAATTTCAAATAAACATTCATTTCAATGGTAAGTGAAGTATCAATAAAAATTCAACTAGAATTTCCTCTTTGCACATTTTTGGCAGAGATAAATGGCAAAAATAGACACACAAAAATTAAAATCAGAAATGTGGTTTATATAACACCTTTTAGGCACAACCCTGGAATCACTTTATTATCTACTAATTCCCTACCTCAGAGATTTTAAACCACGGCTCAAAAAAACAACAGCAGCAAAGTAGAGAATTTTAAAGTAAGGTCAGGGACCTACCTGGGCAAAGCTTTTAAACATTCATTTTAATAGATAACATATAATGAGACTCACTATATACCAGGAACTAAAATAAACCCTGACGATTCAATTTTAAAAATTTTAAAAGCATATTTTACAATAGCATCCCAAAACATGACATATTTAGGTATAAATGAACAAAGGATGTGCAAAATTATATGCTGAAAATTATAAAATGTTGGTAAGAGGAATTAAAGAAGACTTAAGTAAATGGAGAAATATAACATTTTCATGAACCAGAAGATTTGATATTATCAAAATTGTCCTCAATTTGACCTACACATTCAACACAATCACAACAAAAATCCCAGCAGACATTTTGTAGAAAGTAACAAGTTGATTCTAAAATTTATATGGATAAGCAAAGTACCTAGAATATCCAAAAGAATTTTTAAGAAGATTCTAGAAATAGATACATTTGTACGTGGTCAAATGATTTTTTACAAATAACCTTATTGACATACATTTTGTATATAATTCACCCTTCTTAAGGAAATAATTCATGGGCAATTTCTTAAAATGTATTTGTATTGATTTCAGAGAGGAAGGGAGAGAGACATCAATGATGAGAGAGAATCATTGATTGGCAGCCCACTGGGGATCGAGCCTGCAACCTGGACATGTGCCCTGACCAGGAATGGAATTGTGATTTTCTGGTTCATAGGTCGATGCTCAACCACTGAACCACACCACCCAGGCAATATTTGATAAAGGTATCAAAGTAATTCAATGGATAAAGTGTAGCTTTTTCAACAAATGGTGCTGGAACAAATGGACATCCATACATTTAAAAAAAGGTCCCTGGGCAGGTGTGGCTCAATTGGTTGGAGCATCCTCTCATATGCCAAAATGTTACAAGTTCAATTTCTGGTCATGGTGTGTAGGGGAGGCAACCAGCTGATGTTTTTCTCTCTAAAATCAATAAAAAAATATCCTCAGGTAAAGATTTTAAAAATAAATAAAAAATATATTGCATACCTTGCAATATATAAAAAAATCAACTTGAAATACATCATAAATCTAAGTTACCTAAAACTAAAAAACTCCTAGATGAAAACATAGAAGAAAATTTTTGTGACCTTGGATTGCCAAAGATTTCTTGAATAGGACACAAAAAGTATAAATCCTAAAAAGAAAAAAATGTTGCCCAGCTGTGGTGGCTCAGTGGATTGAGCATCATCCCATGGACCAAGAGGTCCTGGATTCAATTCCCAGTCACAGCACATGCCTGGGTTGCAGGATCGATCCCCAGTAGGGAGTGTGCAGGAGGTAGCCAATAAATTATTCTCTCTCATCAGTGATGTTTCTAACTCTCTCTCCCTCTCCCTTCCTCTCTGAAATCAATAAAAAAATATATTTTTTTAATGTTAAATTGGTTATCAAATTTAGAAAGCTCTACTCTTCGAAAGGTACTATTAAGAAAATAGACAGCCCTGGCCGGTTTGGCTCAGTGGATAGAGCGTCGGCCTGCGGACTGAAGGGTCCCAGGTTCTATTCCAGTCAAGGGCATGTACCTTGGTTGTGGGCACATACCCAGTAGGGGGTGTGCAGGAGGCAGCTAGTCGATGTTTCTCTCTCATCGATGTTTCTAACTCTCTAACCCTCTCCCTTCCTCTCTGTAAAAAATCAATAAAATATATTTTTTTAAAAAGAAAGAAAACAGACAAGTTACAAGTTGGGGGAAATTATTTGCAAAACACTTATCTAATAAATGAATATGTAAAGAACTCTCCAAACTCAATTTTTAAAAATCCAAACTAATTTTAAAATGGGGGGGGGGGGGGAGAGATAGCAAATAACCACATGAAAAGAATCTCTCAGTATCATCCGTTTTTAGGAAAATGCAAATTAAAACCACTATGAAATAGTACTATAAACCTTTTACAATGGCTTAAAAACAAAAACTGATACTATTAAGTACTGACAAAGACACAGAGTAACTAGAATTCTAGAATTGGCTAACTCTAATACAGTGCTAGTAGGAATATAAAATGGTCCATCCATTTTGGAAAATGGTTTCAAAGTTTCTTATAAAGTTAAGCATGTATTTACACATGATTCAGTAATCCCACTCCTAGGTATTTACCAAAGAGAAGTGAAAACATATGTCCACACAAATGTTTTTAGTGGCTATATTTATAGTGGCCAGAAACTGCTAATAAAAAAACATACCAACTGTCCTTCAATTGGTTATGAATTCTTTAAAATGTGATGAATACATACAATGAAATACTACTCAACAATCAAAAGGAATGACTACTATATATGCAATCAGATGAATTGCAAAAGCATTAGGTTAAAACAGAAATTGGCAATTTTTTTCTGTCAAAGGGCATCATGATAATATTTTAGGTTTTACAGACCATAAAGCCTCTGTCACAACTATTCAACTCTGTCACTGTCGTTTGAAACAGTCACAGACAATATGTAAACATGAGTGTGGCTATGTTTCAATAAAACTTTATATACAATAGGCAGTGGGCCTAATATGGCCCACAGGCAATTTACCAACCCCTGTGCTAAATCAAAGGAGCCAGACACAAAAGGTTATACTATATAATTCCATTTATATGGTGATATGAAAAAGGCAAACATAGACACAGAAATCAAATCAATAATTGCCAGGGTCTGGGGATAAGGGTAAGGGATTAATTAGAAAGAGACGTAAGGCAACTTTTTGGAATGATGGAAATATTCTCTCTATCTTGATTGTGGTAGTAGTTACATGACTATATGTTTATCAAAATTTATATATCTGTACACTTAAAACGGGTGAATATTACTATATATAAATTATGCTTTAATATTCTCATCTTTGAAAGAAAGGGAGGGAGGGAGAAAGCAAGCCATTCTTTGGTCCCCAATTCAAAAAACCCAAGAGAAAAAAATTTTTTTACATAATCAAAACTTAAGGAAATTTAAACACTGATATTTGGTTATATTTTTTAAATGTGATAACTGTATTGCAGTTATTTTTTTAAAAATAAAAATATAAGAGTTATATGAAGTTCTCATAGATATTATGTGTGAAATTTATTTTTAACAATCCAGTTGAGATGGGGTAGAAATGTACTGATAATTGTTGAAGCTAGGTTATGGGTAAATAGAGGCTCATTATAAATCTATTATTCTTGCTACTTTAGTATATGTTTGAACATTTCAACAACAGCCAAGTTGAGGTGGGGGTAGGGTAAGAATGAAAAAAAAAAGTGAGAAAGAGATAAAAACCATAAAATAGAGATTATGCACTTAATGTCTACCAAGGTCAGGTAGGTGAAGAAGATAAGCCAGAGTGATAAAGTCTGAAGCCAAAAGCATTCACATCATAATTTTAAAAAGACATGTGTGTTCCAAACACACACTGGCATCCTCTCTCTCAAAATCTTAAAACTCTGAATATACAGTTATATACTCACACATGCCTCTATAAACAATGCACACACAATGTGAAAAGTACTAAAATATAAATGAGCTGTGTCCTAAAATCCAGAAAGCACTGGGGCATATATAATAATCATAGCCAAGACACAATACAACAAACTATATTTATCTGGTTCTGGGATAGTCACTAGTATTAAAACCAAACTGTTTCTGCCCAACTGGCATGGCTCAGTGGTTGAGCGTCGACCTATGAACCAGGAGGTCATGGTTCGATTCTGGTCAGGGCACATGCCTGGGTTGCAGGCTTGATCCCAGTATGGGGCGTGCAGGAGGCAGCCGATCAGTGATGCTCTCTCATCACTGATATTTCTTTCTTTCTCTCTCTCTCTCTCTCTCTCTCTCTCAAATCAATAAAACTATTTCTAATTTCACAATTTGTCTTTAGTTAAGAATCATATATATTGTTTAAATGAGAAAATAGGAGCAAGAAAGTGATAGATTTTTAGTAATATTATAGCAGAAAACACAGCTGAGCATATCAGGATAATCCATTTTTAATTAGGCAGGTTGCTAAAGAATACATATCTAAAATTAACATTAGAAACAGTTTTAGAATACTAGCTGAACTTTCTTAATCTTATAACACCTTGAGTGAAGATATTATCTAAAAATAAAATCAGAATTTTACTATACCCATGGTTTTCTTCATAATATTGTAGAATATGCCACCCTTTTGGAACATGTGAGGAAGCCCCTTTGCATAAGACCATACATCTTCTCCTGTAAGATAAAAACAGATACAGTATTAGCAACAAACAAAAGTGTTCAACCAGGGTTGTTATATATGGATTAGCCACTAACAGAGATTGCAAGGTAGCCTGGTATAGCATATAGGGAGATGAGATAATATGGAATGATGAGGCTATAGCACACTAGGAAATGCATGACCCACCTAAAGATGGCAGCCACTGCCAAGTACTGTCATGGAAAAGTGTAGGCCCAATGTTTCAAGACAAAAATGGCTTTTCATAAGAAGCTGGAAATCTGCGTTTTTTTTAAATGTGAATTTTTTTAAAAATATGTTTTTATTGATTCAGAGAGAGGAAGGGAGAGGGGGAGAGAGCTAGAAACAAGGATGAAAGAGAAACATCAATCAGCTGCCTCCTGCACATCCCCTACTGGGATTGATCCCGAAACCAGGCATATGCCCTGACCAAGAATTGAACCAGCAACCTCCTGGTGCACAGGAGGATGTCCAACCAACTGCGCTACAACAACCGGGCAATTCTCTCAATTTTTAAATGTAGGAGCTAATTAAAAAATATCTTCACAAATTAAACAAATATGAGGCATATTAAACAAAACAGATCTGAAAACTCAATACAGCTCAAAGGATACTAAGATAATTTATTAAAAAATAATATAAAATTGTATTGTCTATATTTATGTTAAAGCAAAATAAAAACAATGGAAGGGGGAAAAAAAACAATGGAAGGGGCTAGGGAGAAAAGTAAATAGGCTGAAGATAAGTAATTAATGTTTCGGCTCGATCCCCAGGGGCCACGCAGCAAGCATCAGATCAATGATTCTCTCATCATTGATGTTTCTATCCCTTTCTCCCTCTCCCTTCCTCTCTCTGAAATCAATAAAAACATAATTTTTTAAAAAAATATATTTTATTGATTTTTTCAGAGAGGAAGGGAGATAGAGAGTTAGAAACATGGATGAGAGAGAAACATCCATCAGCTGCCTCCCGCACACCTCCTACTGGGGATGTGCCCGCAACCCAGGTACATGCCCTTGACCGGAATCGAACCTGGGACCTTTCAGTCCGCAGGCCGACGCTCTATCCACTGAGCCAAACCGGTTTCGGCGTAAAAACATAATTTTTTAAAAAAAGAATGGAAGGAACATAAAGTTACTTTTGGTTTGTAGAATGTGGTTGTTTTGTTTCTTTTTTTTAAAATATATATATATATATTTTTTAATTGATTTTTACAGAGGGGAAGGGAGAGGGATAGAGAGTTAGAAACATCCATGAGAGAGAAACATTGAACAGCCGCCTGCTGCACACCCCCCACGGGGATGTGCCTGTAACCAAGGTACATGTCCTTAACTGGAATCGAATCTGGGACCCTTCAGTCTGCAGGCCGATGCTCTATCCACTGAGCCAAACCGGTCAGGGCTATTTTGTTTCTTTATACTTACTTTCATTGTTTTCTAATCTGATAATGTACAGTACTACTTTCATAATCAGGACTTTTAAAATTTACTTTATACATATTTGAATTCTTTGAATTAAAAAAAAAATAATATCTTCTAATTGAAAAAAATATAAAAGAAAACAAAAGGTATCAAAGTAACTGAAGTATAGCCCAGCCGATGTTGCTCAGTGGTTGAGTGTCAACCCACGAACCAGGAGGTCATGGTTCGATTCCCAGTTAGGTACATGCCTGGGTTGTAGGCTTGATCCACAGTAGGGGATGTGCAGAAGGCAGCCTATCAATGATTCTCTCTCATCACTGCTGTTTCTATCTCTCTCTCCCTCTCTCTTCCTCTCACTGAAATCAATAAGAAAAATATTTTTTAAAAAGTAACTGAGTATAGAAAGGAACAAAGCCAAGGTTTAATCTTCAGAGCATATAATAAAATCATCATTTATTATAACATCCACATTCATCTTAAGATACATCTATATGCATTATTTTAATTTTATTTTTTTAAATATATTTTTATTGATTTTAGAGAGAGAGGAAGGAAGAGGGATAGAGAGACAGAAACTTTGATGAAAGAGAAACATTGATCGGCTGCCTCCTGCAGGCCACCCTGGGGATTGAGCCACAAACCGGACATGTGCCATGACCTGGAATCGTACTGTGACCTTCTGTTTCATAGGTTGACACTCAACCACTGAGCCACATCGGCCGGGCATGCATTATTTTTAAATCAACTTTATAACTGCTCTACTAGACATATGCTGTATATAAATCAATTAGAGGGGTGATCAGAGGGCATGTAAAGAATAATAATATGTATTAACTACTATCTAGATTTGAAACTGTCCTTTATCCAATATTTAAAGAAAAAATATCAAGATGTAATAATGATGCTCAGATCCAATGTTATCTAAAAACATAATGTCTGAACCCCAGGTATAATTCTGGAAAATCTTAAGGCAGTTATAACATCAATAGACACTATTAAATTACAAAATATTGTATACTTTAAACTCTGTCTTCTCCCTTTCTCTAACCATGTCTTTGAGCAAGGATTTAAAAAAAAGTATATTAAAAATGCATACAGTTTTTTTCAGTAAGATATAAAGTACACAAAAACCAAACAAGTTTCTCAACTCCTGAAAGGTCGCTCAACTTTGTAGTGAATGGGGTAAATATCACAAGTAGCCTAACTCCATTAAAGCAACTCCAACAAATTGTTTTTCACAAACCTGTCTTTATCTCTTGAAAAAGAAAATTAACTAGTAACTCAGTAGAATACAATGATGAGAAAAAATTAATTAGCCTAGTTTTTATGATGGATGCTGTACCATCTATCATCTCTATCACAAAAGAAAATCCACAAAAAAATCCACAAGAAAACAATAACCAGAGTTAGAGTCACTCCACTACTACATAAATAATAGACTATAGTCTGCAAAAATTGTTCAATAACCTCCAAGTGGTCTGGATAAAGCAGATATGAAATAATTACAGGCAAAATGTTATTTCATTTTAAAACTACCATCATAAGATTAAAGTGACTAGTTCCATGAATCGTTTATACTGAGCAAAAGACTCATGTACTTACTTAATGTCTTACTGATATACAGAAATAGATATAAACTATTTAATAAATATTCTACTTAAAAATAATGTAAGGAAAAGCACATGTCCCTATCAAGCATTCAGCCTATTTAATGAAGATATAAAAGCTATATAATGAAAACTAAAGCAATGAAAGTATGGGATACCCTCAGCTGGGATCCTGCAGGTAAGTTTATGGAAAGCAAGGACTGTGTCTCATTAATTTTATACCTCTAGCAGTCTCTAACTCACAGCAGACAGTCATTTTGCTGAAATAGTCTGCACTAATTCTTTCAGCATTTTCTTAACAGCTACTAAGTGTCAGGCCCTATACTTGGTGATAGGGTTTCCATCAGTGAATAAAACAGATTACTATCTCTTCTGTGGAATTTATAATACAGTGGGAGAGGCAAATGGATAAGTAAGCCAACAAATGAGATAATGAAAACTTGTAATAGGTACTATGAGAGAAATGAAGAGGATAGAATAATAGAAGGTACCTTTTTAGAGTGGTAAATAAAGGTCTCTCAAACCCTTATATAAGGTGATCAGAAGGAGAAAGCCTCTCTTAAGAAGGCAATATTTAAATCTAAACCTAAATGAGGAGCCAGATATTTGAACAGTATAAAGCTTGATGAGCTATTTTCTAAACCAAAACAGCAGCTTAGTTCACATTTGGTAATTTACAAAATAATTTCTGCAATTTGAAACTTGCAATTTTCTAAATAAGCTCTGTCACTTTCCATTTTCTAGCCCACTCCAATCCAAACAGCAATAGTTTCCTGGCACTCTTTACATAAGGTTGTGTGTATATAACTATCCCCAACTTGATATTCTTACAAACACACCACTTTTTATTAAGAGTATCTTCTATATAATTCAAATACAGTTATAAGATAAGTAGAGGTAGAAAATTAATATTTACGGAGGGACTATTACAGGCCAGGCACTGTCTTAGTACTTTAAAGCAGAAAGTCTCCCAAGTGTTACCGCTATAAAATTAGCAAAACACTGTTTATCTTCAAATTTTGTGTTTGAGTGGAAGGAGAAGATTTAAAGAAATTTGTAATTTGTAAGGAAAGCAACATAAATATTGGAAGTGAAGAGGGAAGGGTTCATAAAAGGAAGACATTATCTTGGTGAACTCATGGCAGTCCATAGTCTATTACTCAGATATTCAGGCTCAGAAACCTCAAACCAAAATAAAAAAGTGACTAATTATAAACCAGAATTATATTGTACTAATTTCTGTTACAAAATATATTATCTTGTTGACCAGACTTTTAAACTGCTGATCACAATCTCATTCACACCACCTAATCCTCATTAGCACTTTCAACTGTACATCAACATTTGTATCAGGAAGCTAAATCAGTGATCAGAACTGATGCTTGATGAATATGAAATCAGTAAAGGGATATCAGATCTTTCAGCCAGGCCATGGTGAGGACTGACCACATATTCCTGTTCCTAAATAGAGATTACCTTCCTAGTTACCAGAATTTTCATGAACCACAGGTAATTTATCTTTCCTTTTGTGCAGCAGTGTATAAACAGTGCCAAATTCTGCTTTTCAAATCTTTTTCAATGTTCAGTGCTGACCATCCATTCCATTTCTGCTGGCACAGCCTTTGTTGAGATATGTTAATGTCATGTGTTTAATTCAATCAAAAACATTTCAGAGTACCTGTTATCTGCTGGGCAATATACTAGGTGCTGAGCATCCAAGGTTAATTATGATCTGAACCACATCCTCAAAAATTCATCTTCTAATGAAGAAAGCCTCCTCTTTTCTGTTTTTGATCAAGGAGATTGCTTTCTTTAAAAAAAAGTGTCTTCTGAAAATATCTAATTTTATCCATTTTGTGCTGATGTTATTTAATTTTCAGAGTTCTGGGAGTAATAAATTGTTACTCTGTATACTAACTACAAGGGGTATTTTGTATAGAAGAGGCAACTGAAGTACTGGGAAGTTAAGCAGCTTACTTGAAATCACAAAGTTAATAAGTAGAGGAGATAAGATTAAAATTCTAGATCTTTCTGATTCCAAAGATCACACAATATTTCCTCTATTCCATGCAGTCTCTAAGAAACTAAAAACTCTAAGACAGAAATATATAAAATGCCTATATATCCCCCAATTCAATGACTATGTCTGCCAAAATAAAATCAGCAATATCAAGTGTATATATAAAAAAAAACCAAGAATAATCTTCATTTTAGAAGGTCAGGTCCAATTCACTGATCTTTAGCATTCTTGGAAACAGAATCAAAACACAGATCACTTTTCTAGTTGAAAGCTCTAATCTCAGCAAAAATAAGGCCCTTCTAATATGTAAGAGATCTAAATTTTACTTCTACTTTAAGCCTTACTATGTAAAACATATTAACACTAATTAAAAAACATACATTAGGCAAATAAGAATGTAAGAAGTGCATCAATGGATCACATCTCAAATAATCTAAACCTTTAAACTACATATTCTGTTGATAATATATTTTCCTTTACTTTATGCTTAATTATTAAAAAGAAAGCTTCGAAGCAACCTCATTATCATCTACATCTGTTCTTCATGTTTCTTATGAGTTACAACAGTTCATTACAATTTATGGCAGTCACTGAGTAAGGAAATTACTTGAACACTAATCCTAATTACAAGTAAGAAAAATGTGATGAACTGGGGAAGGGAGAACAGGAAATGGAGGAGAGACACTATCAGGTGGGAGTGTGGTGTGAAGAAAAACACCAGAAACTGCAATTCATCAAACAGGAAGTCCTGAAATCACATGACATGCAGAAAAACAAAATTTAAAAATAAATGAAAAGGGGAAAGAGAGGTGGGCAGGTTCAATAGAACCGAGAGGGGGAAATGAAAAAGGCTTTAAATGGATACATTACAAGCCTATTTAAAAGAAGAATTATTGGGGTGGTGAACACACAATACAATATAGAGATGAATTATAGAATTATACACCTGAAACCTATATAATTTTATTAACCAATATCACCCCAATTAAGTCAATAAAAATTTTTTAAAATTTAAAAAAATTATTATATTTAAATAATCTGGTGTTAAGGGACTATTTTCACTTTTTTAGTTATGTCCTCCTAATATTTACTCAACAGAAAAACACACAAATATCTAGCCATTAACTGTGAAAAAGATTTAAAAAAATAATTTTCTTCAAAATATAGTTTTTATGATGACCAGATTTTTTTTACAGAAACAGAAAAAAGTGTATTACATTCACCATTAAGAAATACTATCTGAGTTAAATTCATCTTACCCATTAACGTTGCTAAAAGACACAAGGAGTACATTTCTTTGTCAGCTTGCTCCTGAAGTTCCTTAGATGACAGTTTACCAGTAGCAGCAATCTCTTCTTGTTTCACAGTGTGAGCAGAGTGTGCTGCAGCAGACTGACCACCTTCTGCTTTACTTTTTAGAATCTCTATTGTAATTCTGTCACCATGCTGTAAAGGAACTGGCTCCTTTTCCATTCCTGCCTGGGGTGGCATTAACTCTTTAGGAGGAAAGCCGTATCGAATACACTGTAAATAAGGAGGAATGTTGAATTCTCTGGCTATGCTTTCCTGAAGTTCAAAAAAGGTTGTTGAAGACTTAAGTGTAACCATGGACTGTCGTCCATCATTAGTTGTTATTCGGATTTTCTTCTCTTTAGAAGTTGTTGGTGAGTAGGGAGATTTGGTAGGGGTAGCAGGTGCAGAGGATGGACCATCCCGAATGGCACTGGGAGAAACAGTCCTGGGCTGCCCTTTTTGTTCTTGTTTTAACTTCTCTGTTTTCCGTTTCTGCATTACAGAAGCCTGTTCCGTAATAGTCTGTTGAATAGTTCTTTCGGTTTTACTCATGTTTAACTCCTCCTTGTGCAAAGTTTTTGTTTTCTGTCCAGTAAGAATAATTTTAGTTGGGAGCTGAGACTCTGACTCTTGTCCTTGTACATCTTCAGCTATTTGGGCATGAGCACCATCTATATTTACAGGAGTATAATCATCAGGATTCTTTTTGGCAGTCTGATGCAAGATAGTGTGGACAACTTTCTGAACTAAGATTTCACTCCCAAATTCACCAGGAAAGTGCTTGGTAACAAGTTTCATTGCAACATCATAAACATTACTATTCAAAGATGAATCACTTTCATACTGGAACCAATATACTGTTTCTCTGACCACTCTACCACCCCATTCCAAAGTAATAGGAAAAGCTTCTGGTAGATTGTCATACTCTTTACCATCCCAAAAATGTTTGAATCCACAACCACACTTGCCACCAGTGGATCTCGAATTAGTTCTGTCCCCATCCAAATACACAATAGACCCATCTCCTCTGACCCTTCGCACAGATGTGCCATGACACCAATTACAAGCTGGTAGGCTACTTAGTCCATAGTCTGGTACCAGAACATCTTTCACTGAATCATATGAGCAAACCACACTGTTCAAGGGAAAGCTATAATTTTTGTCAGGCCTCAGCTGTCCATGAGTACTTTTTGCCAGGTTATACAGTTTCCCTCCTGGAACCAACCACTCTGAAGGAACATGAAGTTCAGAAAGGGCACCACAGAGCAAGCATTTGTGAAGGCGATTATCCATTACTGCTTTTTTAGCAGCTGCTGTGACTTCTTCAGGCTGAACTCCTATCACCCCAGTCCTCCTGTAGAAATATTGATGAACATCAGCAACCAAACTGGGGTGGATACCATGTTTGTCCATAAAGACTTCTTCCATAGCAGCAACAAGCCTAAGCAAGTATTTATCCTGCAGACTTCTGTCTCCTCCAATAACACAACCACCATCCTCCTCAAGTTTGATGTACTTTTTAATAAGATCCTGAGGCACACCCCATGCTTTAGGAAGCAAATTCATAGGCAGTTTGGGCAAAGCAGCCCCTTTTATGCCTACCAAGGGGATATAATGGTTTCTACCAGAGCTACTCCATGCAATACAAATTGGTTTGTTCAAATGACCATCTCTCCCAGTGCACTTCTCTGCAGGGATGAGCCCAGGCAGAAAGGTGGCTGAATAATCACCAGAGCTTCTCATGCCACTGAGAGAATCTAACAGAATAATAGGGCGATGTAACACATTGGCAAGACCAAATATGTGGATGTTCCTCAGGCCCAAAGGAACACCTTCAGGCGGTACAAACAAAGGGTCACACTCATTGATAATGTCTTCCCACTCAGCAGCATCAATGAAGTCATGGAACAGGGCTTGGTATCTGGGCAGGTGCTGCTGAAAGTGCTGTTTCAGATTCTCTCTCAGGGCATGCCAGAAGAGCTCCCGGCCCACTAGAGCCCGGGACACAGCATGCACCAGGCAGTGTCCATCCCCGTCCACATGCACTGGAATGAGGCATTCCTGACTTTTATTGGCCCGCTTGATGTCCTCAAGGGTGTCATGCAAATACAGGAGGCTTCCGGAGCGGTCCTTGCCATAGCCCACCGTGTTCACATGCTCTGGTTCGATGAGAAAGGCGCGGTCACCCAGTAAAGCGCAATCGAACAGTTCGCCCTGGTTCATGTCCCGGAGAAGCTTAGCCCGGCCTGTCTGTTTATCCATTCCATAGCGAGCTAAAATGGGCGACAACAATTTGCAGTGGTAGTTGGAAAGGCCCATCACCTTTACCAGTTCCGTGGTCTTCTTGGGCGCCCCGGTAACTCCCAGCAGCGCGTTCCGCAGCAGGTTGTGTAGCACTACGTCCGGGTCGGTCACCTCCTCCACCCCCAGCAGCTGTTGTTGCTCGTGCCGCTGTCCGCACTCGGTACACTCGATGCTGACAGAACCGGAGGCCGGGAAGAACAGACGCGCCTGGCACTTCGGATCTGGGCAGCTCCCGGAGAGGATTCTTCGGTCTCTCCGCTTCGAGAGCATCCCCGGAGCAGCCGCCGACAGGGACGACGAGGTGTGCGGTGCCTCCGGGGGAGGGGGTGGCGGCGGCAGCGGAGGCGGCGGCGGCGGCTGAGACATAGCTCTCGGCTCTCGAGTCTCGTTCCGCGTCCCAAGCGACCCTCAAAGGCTCATAGCCCAGACCCCCACCGGCCCAACTCGGTCTAGTCCGGGCCCAGCGCGAATCGCTTTCGTTTTCCTACCAGCTCCTCCTCCTCCTAGGCGAAGGCGGAAGCGGCGGACGTTGTTTCTCTTCTTACTTCTCCTCTGCCGGAGCCGTTGCCCCGAACGTAACGGCCACCACCCTATCCCGCACTCACACTCACTCACTCACTCTCGCTCTCTCTCCTCAGACACACAGACATACACGCCCTCACTGACAATGCGCAGGCGCAGCTTCCGCTCTGCCCTCTGGGAATTAAAGTCCTCCAGCCTCTCTCTTGGCTATCGAAAGCCAGAAACTTAAGTCCTGCAAGAACTACAAGTACCGAGAGGCCAGGCGGTTCAGCGTCCGCGGAGAGGAGGAAGAGGAAGGCAATAGGAAGGGGGGCAGAAAGGAAGTAGTCACTCACGTTGCCTGCCGGGAGTTGTAGTTTTATCTGGATTGGCTTTGCTGTCTTCCCCACTCCGGGGCCCAAGCAAAGGAGTATGAGAGACCATCTTTCCTAGGATGCACTGCGGTCCATTCAGCTTCACTTCCTCTTCAGGCGGAGGAAGGATACAGGGAAGCTTTCTTGTTAAAGCCGAGTTACAGGGTATGGGTGTCGGAAGCAGAGGGTCTGAAGTTCACGCCGTCTAGAAGGGGAGGGAAATGAAAGGCTCTCAGTGAGAAGGTACAGTAAATAAATGTCCAGCGATGTGGCGGGCTGGGAAGGTGAATGAAATGGTCTTCTCTAGGCTAGCGGTCATAAGAGAAAAGGGGAAAAATAGTGGATTGATTCTCGGAGTGTTTAATGTCTTTTTTTTTTTTTTTTACTGCCATACTTTTTTATTCTCATTCTTCCCGCTATTCCAAGCCACTGAGGCGCCTGCGCCCATTTTCTGCCTCTACTGAGGGTCGCAAAGGCGCCATTTGTTTCCTCCTTCCCTGGACGCCGGCAGTTTACAGTATAAATAATACCTCCTTCCCTCAGAGAGTTATAGCAGCCATCATGACGTTCTTAATGTATGTCTGTCATAGCCATACACGATATCAGTTGCTCTTCGTAATAACCTTGTTAGGAAACACGTCCCGAAAGGAAATGACTTGTTCAAGTTCACAGTCCAGCAAGTGACTGGATAGGAACAAACCTAGATCTGTACCCATTTTACAAACAGAGACATAGGCAGGAACGGTAAGGCTAGTATCAATAAAATAGTAACTAACCCCGGGTTCCTATTATAGTTGTTGACAGAGAACAACCAGCCTAAGAAAAAAGTCTTATAAGAGTTTGAGCCAAACTGACACAATTGCTGGGAAGCAAAATCTTAATGGATTGAGAAAATGTTCCAGGAGATGGCTGTTTTATAGCTTATTGTAAGCATTAGAACCAAAGGAGGAGATAGCGGAGGGTTATGTAAAGCTCACTGGTGGTAGGTTGGAGAGGTGGGAGAAAGCACTGTGGGAAGATGTCTGAGATTGGATAAAAGGTAAAATGGAGAGACACCTTGTCCATTGGGAGGTACAAGATGACACGTACAGCACATAGAGACGGCATGTGGGCAACAAGAGCAATGTGGCCTTGTGCTCTGGTGCAGGCGGTGGTGCCTCTGAAGGATCTAGAAAAGAAAGCTACACTTCAAAGGTGTGTTATCCTAGATGCACAAAGGCACAGACAATTTCAGACGTAAAGACTGACCTCTGTCAAGGAATAAGCTACAAGCCTAGGACAGGACCACCTTCCGTGACCTGCTTTATGTTAGGAATGTCTACATTCGGACAATGCTGTGTGGTTACTTTGGTCGCTTTGGGTTTGTTAAGACCAGCTATGGAGGCCTCCCCTGAGCTTGTCAAGTTTAGTATGTGGCCCTTTTTCATCCACAGAGTGACCCCTTTTCATCCACAGAGTGTACATAATGTGCTCGAATACATCGTCTCATCCTCACACCAGTCCTGCGATACCTTTACCAGGTATGGTTGACTTCCTTTACAGTTACAGAAACAGACTAGAGAGAATTGACTTGTCCAAGGTTCAAATCACCAGTGTTATCTCAGACTCAGTGCTTTTTACAGTACTTTTCTTTACAAAAGAAAAGAGCAGTTAAGGTCAGACCTTTTGTTAAGCCTCAGGGTCTCCTTAGTAAGAACTAGAATCCATAAGGAGGTGAAAGAGCTTTATTTTCTTACTTGTGTGCTAGGAAACTGCCTTTTCATGCAAAAACACATATGTTAATTGAAAGCTAGTGTTATTTAAATTATTTTACAGTCAGTCCCTTTCACTTACCATTCTGGAAATTCTTGTTTTCAAAACCTTAGATAAGTAAACTTGCACAAAATTTCTGAAACATTTGGCACAAAATAGATAACGTAAGTGCAGTCCATGAGATCATTTGAGTTTTCCATATCTGCCAAGGTAAGGTTAGGTTTTTAGAGTAAATAGAATTAGATGCTTGAAATGAAGCATCTATAAGATAGATTCTCCTAAAGAGTCTTAGTATTGACTTTCACCTGGTTATTGTGTATAATTTTCTTCAAAAGAAATAATACGTTGGGAAGAGAAATCCTTCAAATGTTCATTATTTTCTCACCCAATTCTACTTTATCCATGCGAAAATAATGTTACCTTTAAACAAGATAGGCAATGGTGTTACTGGTTCTTGCCTTCTTGAAGGAAAGATTTCAATCAAGAGACAGTGTAGAAAAGCAAGCAAGAATTTATTGACTGCAGCAAAAACACACTTAGGACAGTGGAACAAGTATGGGCATAGAAAAGCAACAGGAGAGCCTAGGTGGTCTGCTTTATGTTACTGAGAAATCAGAGAAAAGGGAGCCTTGGCGACAGATTGGGGGGGTTAGCCAGGGATGAGCTGCCACTGCCCATTGCTCCCCCGGGTGCAAGTCTCATGAGTCCCTTGAAGTTTAGGAAATAATGTGCCTGTGGGGAAAGGGAATGGCATAGGCATGCTCCCTGGAGGGAGAGCACACTGGGACCTTCGTTTTCAGAAGTTTTAAAGGCTGGGCTTTTAGGGGAGTTCTTAGGGGATCAATAGAATTTTCACCAGCTAATGTACCAAGATGAGATTTATTCTCTTAATTTGTTCTTGGGTGTGGTTGGGAAATGGCACTAATTGGATTTCTGTTTTCTGTCTCCCCGAATAGGTGATTTTAGCTATTTACCCTCTGGTTGGGGAGAAGTGCAAACCATTTACTCTTAAGTTTCCTTGGTTTAGGGAAGATAGGATTTATTATGGGGCTGCAAACTGCTGTTTAACTATCTTCCTTAGTTTCCCTATTCTGCTTGTCCTGGAATTTTCCTAGCTTCTTACTATCCTGTAACAATGGTATTTACCTTGAAGGGGATCATTTTCAATAACGTTTTTCATAAAGAATTAATTTATGCAGGAAAAGTGGTTTATATCTGTTTTGACAATAGTTTGGTGGTAATTGCTTAAGTGATCTTGGAACTGATTTTTTAATCGAGTGTTTATAAGTTGAGAAATTGGATATGTCCTTTAAGTGGAAATAACTTTTGCCATGACTGAAAAGGTACACCTGCAGTAAAATTTCATTTTTCTCATTCAGAATTCAAACAATTGAATTATTAACACCTCGGAGCATGTGAAAGCTGGCAGCAGTGTGCAATTCGAACACTGTCATGCATTTGTATGTCTTATCTTCACCAATCCAAATTTTCCTTATGGGTGATAGATATAAACAATGAAGTAGATATTTTTAAATTGCACCTGAATATGTCATTCTGAATCATACCTTGACAAAATAACCACTTCCCATCCTACTGAAAAAATGGGCAGCTTTCTCTGGTTTGTCAAGCACAATCCACTTGATTGATCTAGTGCTAATTTCCCTATGTGGGGCCTTGATTAGGTGGAAGCATTCTTCTCAAACTAAATTTGATATTTAAACCCATTTGTTACTATAGTTCTTCTAGTTTTAAGAATTATACTTTTGAGGGGGGGAATAGAAATACCTTGGTGTAAAGCATATTTAATTGGTGGGGAGAGGAGGGGGAGAGTTAGGTTTCTGGCAATTCTAGAATTAAATTAGATCATTTAACCTGAAAATCACTTCATTAATGAATCTGTAAATGCAGTCAAAGTTCTCAGAGTAAGAAAGCTAACATAAATAAAGAAAGGGTGATGATATTAACCATGCCAAGTTCAACTTGTGAATCAATTGGCTGCCTCCAGCATGTATCCTGACCGGGAATCAAACTGCCAGGGCATGTGCTCTGACCAGGAATCGAACCGGGGACCTTTCAGTACACAAGATGATGCTCAACCAATTGAGCTACAGTGACCAGGGTGGGTAATACTGTTTCTTATAAGGCCTTAAGAGTGCTGAAAGCTTTTAATCTACTTATATGAGATACACATGCTACCTTCTTCTTCCTCCAAAATTCCATGATCTTAATTGCCTAATAATGTTCATAAGATCTTTGTGGGATGCATAACAGTTCTTGTCTCAGTATTACAGATGGGAAAAATGAGCTGGGCACCTAATGTTAGCTGCTCTGATGTATAACTCTTCTACCACCATCACCCTAGCATCACTTGTATCTGAATTACAAAATTCAGTTAAAAGTAAAATTCGTGCCCTAGCCGGCTTGGTTCAGTGGCTAGGCAGCCGTGGGCAAACTACGGCCCGCGGGCCGGATTCGGCCCATTTGAAATGAATAAAACTAAAAAAAAAAAGACTGTACCCTTTTATGTAATGATGTTTACTTTGAATTTATATTAGTTCACACAAACACTCCATCCATGCTTTTGTTCCGGCCCTCCGGTCCAGTTTAAGAACCCATTGTGGCCCTCGAGTCAAAAAGTTTGCCCACCCCTGGGCTAGAGCATCAGCCTGCGGACTGAAGGGTGCCAGGTTCGATCTGGGCCAAGGGCACATGCCTGGGTTGCGGGCTCCATCCCCAGTAGGGGGTGTGCAGGAGGCAGCTGATCAATGATTCTCTCTCATCATTGATGTTTCTATCTCTCTCTCTCTTCTTCTCCCTTCCTCTCTGAAATCAATAAAGAAATATATTTAAAAAAATAAAAAATAAAAATAAAATTCGTTTATCCCCCATAATTTCTAGAATGGCACTTTTAAACTTGCTGGATTGCTTTTAACAAACCTAGTAAATGTAAAAGCTAAAGACAGCTACTTAACATTTAAAAAAAAAAAGGCATCCACTTAACAACAGAACAGGTATCATTGTTTTTTCTCTTTTAAATTGGAAAAGGAAGTGAAGTATCATGGAGAAGTTATATCCAAGGTTGGAAGGAGGACTTTAGGATCAAGAATTGCAGAGAGTATTTGAAGAAGAGTGATTGGCAGTATTTGGGGATTGTTTTAAGTCAGCCACATTCTTTCTCCTATGAAATGGACATCTGTACTAAGAGTAGACTATTTACTCCAGATCTCTACCCCAGACAATCCGATGTCAAGTTACAAGCTTTTGTTGAAGTTTGGGGTGGATGTGGGAGGAACTTAATTACTGAAGTAGGTATTATAGGAACTTAAAGGCCAGCCCTATCCCAAAGGAGCTTACATTCTAATAGAAGAAATAACCAGATCTAAACTGTTCATAAATACAAGTAGAATAAAACATATAATCAATAAAGTCTATACAGGAAAATAAATATCACAAATTCTATGAAAAATGTATTGAGGGTTTATTATAAGGCAGGTGCTTTCAATTATATTACCTTAATCTTTATTTTTTTAATTTTTTAAAAATTTCTATTGATTTGAGAGAGAGAGAAAGGGGGGAGAGGCGGGGAGGGAAACATCAGTTTGTTCCACTTATTGATGCATTCATTGGTTGATTTTTTAAAAAATATATTTTATTGATTTTTTACAGAGAGGAAGGGAGAGGAATAGAGAGTTAGAAACATCAATGAGAGAGAAACATCAATCTGCTGCCTCCTGCACACCCCCTACTGGGGATGTGCCTGCAACCAAGGTACATGCCCTTGACGGGAATCGAACCTGGGACCCTTCAGTCCGCAGGCCAATGCTCTATCTGCTGAGCCAAACAGGTTAGGGCTATTACCTTAATCTTTAAAACAATCCTGTGAGATAGGTAGTATCGTCCTACCTATGAGAAGATGTAACGGGAAGGTTAACATTATCATCATTATTACCACCCAACTAGCAAGTAGCAGAGCTGGGCTTCAAATCAAGATTTTCTTCCATGTTCAGCCCTCCCTCTTTCCACTACCTCACAACTGCTTAGTGATTTGAGAGAGAATTAGCCAAAAAGTGAGTGCAAACTAGTAGCCAATGGCCAAATTTGGCTTAGATCATTTTTATTTGTCAATATTTTAGCATATTTGCTTTAGAATCCTGCCTTCGGGGGGAATAAGACACACACACACACACACACATAAATAGAGCCCAGCCGGCATGCCTCAGTGGCTGAGTGTCAACCTATGTATGAACCAGAAGGTCACGGTTTAATTCCCGGTCAGGGCACATGCCCAGGTTGCAGGCTTGATCCCCAGTGTGGAGATCATTGATGTTTCTCTCTCTCTCTCCCTCTCCCTTCCTCTTTGAAATCAATAAAAATATATTATTTAAAAAAAAACACCTCACCTCTTTAAAAAACACACACACAAACACAGATATAGTCAGTATGATTTTGAGGTTTAATTTTACTTAAAACAAAATTGTGCCTTATGAGTTATAAGGGAAATGACCATTTCCCTAAATAAAAATAGGATATTCATAATTACTGTTGCCATTATCATGCTATCCCAGTGAACACTCCTCCCCCTTTCATACACACGGGCTTTATTAATTACTTGGTGATAAATGTAGTAAACACAGATAGTAACTTAAAGCTAGGTAATGTGACTTATATGGCTTACATAGTTTTCATGCTGCTTGGCCTACCTCCATGTGGTAAAAGTCAAATTCCACCAAGGTAACATCTCAGCTTTGCCCAATAGAACTGTCTGCAGTGATGGAAGAATCCTATGCATGTCCTGTCCTATATGACAGCCACTAGCCATGTGTGGCTTAAAAAACTGAACTCATTTTATTTATTTTTTAAAATATATTTTATTGATTTTTTACAGAGAGGAAGGGAGAGGGATAGAGAATCAGAAACATTGATGAGAGAGAAACATCGATCAGCTGCCTCCTGCACACCCCCAACCGAGGATGTGCCCGCAACCAAGGCACATGCCCTTGACCGGAATCAAACCTGGGACCCTTGAGTCCGCAGGCCTCCGCTCTATCCACTGAGCCAAACCGACCAGGGCTGAACTCATTTTATTTAAATTTAAGTAGCCACATGTGGCTAGTGGCTACCATATTGGACAGCACAGAAATGAGTCCTCAAAGTGCACATTGAAATTAATGAGTCCCCAAATTCCAGTGAGTCCTGGCTCTGGTAGAGGGTAAAGGGATGGGGACTGACTGCAAAAGGAAACAAGGGAACTTTTTCGGATGATGGAAATTTTCTTTATCTTGATTATAATGATGGTGACATGGCTGTATACCTTTACCAAAACTCATCCTGTACTCTTCAAATGGGTGTGTTTTATGTACATAAATTATATCTAAATAAAGTTGATTTTACAAAGTAAAAGAAAAAAGTTGAGTTTTAGAGACATAGTTCCCCCTCATGTCTATCTAAAGCATGCCTTCTGAAAAGAGGAACAAATGTAATCTGAACAATAAAGATTTAATAAAAAAAAAAAAAAAAAGGAAAAAAAATCAGATAAAATAAAGCATGCCTTCTGCAATCACATTTTTTTTCCTTAGAACCACCAAAGTCATGACTTCATTACTGACCCTGTGTGATTTGGCCCTTGCTATTTGTTTGACATTTTTTCCTGGCTGTGCTTCAGCCACACTGGCCTCCTGGTTGGTCTTCAAACAGTCCGAATACATTCCTATCTCAAGGCCTTTGAACTTGCTCTTCTGCCTGGAAAACTCTTCCCCAAGTATTCTTTTAATGTCTGCTCAAATCTCACATGATGCCATTCCTGCCAGCCTTTCTAAAACAGTATCCCTGTCCTTTCAGCTCCCCATTCCCTAATCCTGCTCACTTTCTTTACAGCACTAATCACTATCTGAAATTATATAATTACTTGTCTATTGTCCTCCTTCCCCATTAGACTGTAAGGCTGTTCGTAAGGGCAGGGAGTTTGTTGATTGTTGGATTCCCTGGGCCAAGCACACAGTGGCCTCAATAAATATTGTTAAGTAAATGAATGAATGGTTATCATCCACGGCAGTATTTCTCAGCTTGAGATCCAAGCATATGGTTGTAGAAAATCCACAAATTCTCTGCAAGATTAAAAAATTTTGTGTTGCCCAGCCAGGGTTGCGGGCTCAATCCCCAGTGTGGGGCATGCAGGGGGCAGCCAATCAATGATTCTCTGTCATCATTGATGTTTCTAGCTCTCTCTCCCTCTCCCTTCCTCTCTGAAATCAATAAAAATATTTTTTTAAAAAAATTTTGTGTTGCTATTTTTATACTAATCTAAAACAGTGACATTGTTTATGATTTTCCAGGTGAACATCTTAAAACATGAAGTTTTGAGTGCCTGAGTTCATGTTGAGTTTAGGATTTTGTTTCTATCAGATAAAAACTAAAGGACATCATGACACAGTGTAGTAAAGATTTCACAGTAATTTTGATAGCGAGTGGAGTCATCACATGTCACACAGTAGCCTAGACAGGCCAAAATCAAAAGGACCAGCACTGCCCGGCCGGTGTGTTTCAGTGGTTGAGCCTCCATCTACGAACCAAGAGGTCATGGTTTGATTCCTGGTCAGGGCATATGTCCGGGTTGCAGGTTCGGTCCCTAGTAGGGGTCGTGCAGGAGGCAGCTGATCAATGTTTCTGCTTCTTCCTTCCTCTCTGAAATCAATAAAATATATTTTAAAAAGAAGTTGCTTTAAAAAAAAAATAGAACCAGCACTGTCAGTGCCACATTCCAGTTAGAAGCAGACATTGCACAAAACACACACAGAGACATATGCTTATATTCACAACAACTTAGTAGCTGTAAGAGAACCCGTAAATACACAGTGAAGAATTGGTTTTTGGTTCCCAGCAATAATTAGATTAGATACTATTTAATTTAGATCTCAAATACTCAAAAATAGTAACGCTATCTTATAGTGAATAAGACTGCTTTACAGAGTTATCAAGTGATAGTCAATTAAAATTGGCATTCCAAGATTTTTTAGCACTAGAATTTTTACTAAAACATAAGAACTAATTATCTAGCCCTGGCTGGTGTGGCTCAGTTGGTTGGGCATCATACTGTGCACCAAAAGGTTGCTGGTTTGAGGAGGGCACAGGCCGAGTTTTGGGCTCAATCCTCAGGAGAAGGCGTGCAGGAGGCAGCTAAGCGATGTTCAGCTCTCACATCAATGTTTCTCTTTCCTCTCCCTAAAAATCCATTAAAAATTTAAAAAAAAAGAACTAATTATCTAGAACGAGCAGCAAAAGACCTGGGAAGTATCATTTGTGTTGACATTTTAAAGTAAACAATACAGAGACACATTTAATATAGATCAGAAGTGGAATCGAAATGCTCGTAAATCTAACACTTTACAATTCAAGTTAACATTAATTTTAAATGGCTGGACCACATAACCACTGCAATTATAGTACCTTTGCCTCCTCTTCTTTTTCCCTTTATTTAGAACTCAAGGGTTACTTTTGGTGTAAAAGAAAGTTCACGAATTTAGTAAAAGAAGTATCTGTTGCATATTTATTCCAGTAACAACTTTGTGTTTCTGTAGAAATGGGCTGACCTCTTTTCCTGAACCTTCTAGCTCTATCACAAATACAGTCTAATTCAGTTCCTTTCAAAAGTAAGGCAAAGGTCAGAACAAGTAGTATCAGACACATTGTCCATATGTGTAGTTTCATAAGTCATATTTTAATAGGTGAGAGAAGAGCATACTTTTTTAGCCCTGTGAATCATTTACACATACGTTTTATAGTATTCCACGGTATAAGTGCATCATAGTTATGATGTACAAGAATTTAAACCCAACACAGTCTGCAAGCAGGAGTTTTTATTTAATTGGGCAGCAATATACGTTCTGTTGTTGTATCCCTGGCCAGGTGGCTCAGTTGGTTGGAGCATCGTTCAGTGAACAGGGGTTTCAGGTTTGATCCCCAATCCTCGGTAGAGGTATCTGGGGGAGGCAGTCGATTGATGTTTCTCTTTCACATCAGTGTTTCTCTCTATCCCTCTTCCTCTCTCTCTCTAAAAATCAATAAACATATCCTCAGGTGAGGATTGGGAAAAGGAAATATATATATAAAGTATTGTAGGAAATGATACGTATGTGCTAAATTAAAGCATTGGCACTAGGTGTCAGCAAATCACAATATCAGAGAGCACCTCAAGTTGAACATTGGCAAAATAGCAATAAGTGGACAGTATTTCACAAGGGCTCATCTCAATCAGCATTTTCCCATTCAAATACTAATTTCATATATTTTGACATTTGTGAAGGTGTGCTCCATGAATTCGATGGATATTAATAGGTATCATGTTGAGGGAAGGGTCCTATAGTCAAGTAAGTTTAGGAAATGATGAGTAAACTAAGTTTTCTTTTTTTTCCACTGTAGGTCTTCTCAGAAGCCTTCTATGCTGATGACATTGTGACTCTTTCCAGAGAGCAGCAGTGATGGCTCCAGAATGTCTAGGGAGAGGAAGAGCTTAGTGTCAAGAGTCTGCTCACAGCATAAGATACTCTAGGATGTGTCCTTCAGCTACATCTGTTTTGCACACTTTTATTTAGAGCTATACCAGGTATTTGGGGGTGACCTAGAGAAGCTAATAAAGATAATGGGGGTGTTTAGTGCCCTAAGCCATCCCTTAGGACAATTATTGATATATAGCATTTCCATACTTTGGCTACAAAAACATTTTGAATCTGTATCAGAGGCACACATTTTAGAAAAAAACAACTGAACAAATAGTATCTCTCATGGTCTCTACTTTTATCAGTGTGCTTGAAAAGGAGTTAATGTTTGCCCATATTTTCTGATAATTTATGGAGGGGTTTTTTTTCATTTAATGTTTTATATTTTTGTATGTGATGTGAGGGATTCAACTTATCTTTTTATTTTATATTGCAAAATACCAGTTGTCCCAAAATCTTGCTTTAAATGTGGTTCTGGGTCCTAGCCGGTTTTGCTCAGTGGATAGAGCACTGGCCTGTGGACTGAAGGGTCCTGGGTTCAATTATGGTCAAGAGCACATGCCTGGGTTATGGGCTTCATCCCCTGTAGGGAGCATGCAGAAGGCAGCCGATCAATGATTCTCTCTCATCATTGGTGTTTCTATCTATTTCTCCTCCGTTCCTCTCTGAAATCAATAAAAATATCCTATATAATAAAAGCATAATATGGAAATCGACCGAACGGCTGAACAGCGGAACGACCATCCAGACGACCATCCGGGACCATGCTGTGACACCCACTGGCGCCAGGCCAGCCAAAGCAGGTGCGATGTGATTGGTCGGGGGCCCAGCCATCACCCCAGATCGACCCGCAGAGGGAGGCCCAGGCCATCGGCCCGTGGGATGATCAATCGGGGGGCTCCATGATCGCCCAGAATAGGGAGGCCCAGGCCACCGACCAGTGGGCTGCGGCGGGTGGGTGGGGCCTCCCTCTTCGAGGGAAGCCCGGGTCCCGGATGCCGGAGGGAAGCTGGTGCCAGCAGCTGGGGGAAGGAAGGCCT